TCAGGTTATAGATATTATTATTTCTCCATACCATGTCATAGTTTTTGGTATAGCTCCACTAAAATTGCAAGATTACAATAATTATGTACGCGGTTCAATAAAATTATAGAGTGATACCCTGCGCCAAGAAACAAGACTAGAAGAATTTATCAGTTGTAATTCTTTTTTCTTGACTATACCGCTAGTATTAACCACCCGGGTGTATGTCAATAGGCGCGAATTTTATTGCCAGATAGATACTAAATAGCGCTTTTTTAGTGTTTAACAATGTTCTAAAAGATTTTCAAAAATCTGGAAAGATATGCAAGACCACTGCCAGGGCTGTTTATCCTCATATCTTAAAATAGATTCAAAACATGGATGGTCAAAAACCCGCGAAAATGCGACTTATCACAATTTCATGGATATTTTGATCAATTTTTCACCAAAAGCCGTCGAATTTAGTTAGTGGTAATATCAAATGTTACTAATCTAGAACAATCTTCTAATATTTTTGGAGGCTCGCATGACTCTAAATTAAGCAGTTGCATTATTGACCTTTAAAAAATCGCGCCTCTTTACCGTCTCCCAACCCACCCTATAAATCATAATATTTTGCGTGATTTGACCATTTTCCTATCAGATGATGACCGGTCCTAAGGTTGCAGATTATTCACAGTTTGAGGCTATATAGCTGTATAGAAAGTGCGTTATTTCAAGAGCAAACAGAGATTAAGAAATGTAAGCGAACAGGCGATTATGATCAGCCTCTGGTGCCGAGTTATTCAAATTGATTCGAAAATTTTTGGCCAAAAATCAACGAATTTGAAGCCATTTTGAATAGGATTGGTATGATGAGAATTGTCTACACAGCTGACATTAAGGCTACTCAAAGTTTATAGGTTGGATAGGGTACAGCGATATTTATTTCCAGCACTGTAGCACCTCAAAGCAGATAAATAGAACCTTATGGGTTTAAGCAAATGTTCTGTGGTCAAATCAACCCACAATTTTGTATTCTTCGAGAGAATCAGAAAGCAATGATTCTATAAGCAGGTTTCAGAGTACTGATAATCGTCAACGATAGTTTCCGACTTCAAATTGATTATGTGAATAACTTGAGTTTTCCGGGACAGACTGGAACGAGAATCATCGGAAAAAAGTCTTTGATGTCAAGCGATAGGTTTTCCGTCTTCATGAAACTTTCACGGATTTTTTTACCTCATCATCAAAAAGTTTTTCGGTTACTCTTACATAATGAAAAGAAAACTTTAAAAAGTGTGAACGGAAATCAAATTGTTAGGAGGATTAGGTGAAAATTTGTAAATTTTTGTTGCTCAGGAAATGCAAAAGCAAGTAGTTGCATTTCTTATTTTCGGGGTTTGCTTTGGGTAATAAATGCTACAGATTCAGAGCAAAGTTCATGATTTTTATTTTATTGCGACGGAATTTCGAAGACTTCATTATTTCAATAGTTGGAATTTCAATTTTGTTGATAATGCAGCAGGACCTTCAACCTTCATATCCACCTAATAATTTTTGCGAGCAATGCTTGTCTTCTCATGCATCTGCTAAACATTGAACTTTTCAATTAATATTCACTTTAGTACAAAATGCGTAATCTAGTTTGCACGGCGTTCTTAATGAGAAGGAAAAAAGTGATTCAACTGGACTAGTAGAAAGACAATATAAACTGTGAGTTACATAACGTAGAAGAAACATTCTCTACCCTTTAAATTTTGTTAATTCTGACTTAGTCGACTATTTTCAATTTTAACACCATTCTTTAAAGTTTACCAAGCTTCTATACGACGTCTAAGAATGGGGTGATGGCAAAATATGATATGCATGGGATGTGCAATTTCAATGAGAAGACGCTTTTGGTCTATTTTCCCATAGGATGGCGTGAACTGGTTTTGGAAAAACTATGGAAGAGTGAGGAAGCCGTTCGGCACTCTAGAAGTAGTGTCAAGAGGTATGTGTGAGAGAAGTTTGAGGAAAAAGACGGAACGAGTTCATTACAAATATGCTTTTTCTTCGGACTACTCGATTCTGGGGTGAGAGCAAATATAGTTTCGAGTAACTACTTCCTCGTAGTCGTGAAAAGCCAGGCAGTTCGAAGAATGGTCGCTGAGCAACCGGCTAGGATCGGCACGGATTGAAGTCCGAGTGAAGAATGCGCAGGCAGCAGCTGCAGTGCTGGTTCTCAGAGCGGCAATTGCAACAAAGAGTTACAGAACCAACACACGAGGACGGCGAGTATGTAGGTATAATCGTCGCAATTCAGGCAGTCGATGGAAAATTGCAGGCGAGGGTGGAGCGAGGACGTCCGCGGACTAGAGAGTGTAGAGTTCCCAATGAAGCTTCAATTATATTGCGCCGTCAAAAGCGACAGGTCGAGAGTAATGCCAACTGACAACTGCAACCGCCCGCTGCTGAATATGGACACCCAAAAAGTGCATTCCCTTTATTGGGTCGTCCCTTGGGTAAACCACATTCTTCTGCTTTCTTCTGCTCCGATTTCGCCTGCTGAGTCAAGTATAGCACTCTTGTTTTACCATATGAGTCTTGCATCGAATTGCAGAGAAAACATCTATTGGAGGAAGTGAATCATTTGCTCGCTAATGTAAAAATTATTATTGACAAACCGGAGCAGTACAAGTTCATAAATGGGAGCACACAATTCCGAAATTTTTCGACATTTTGAGCTTGAATATTTTCTAGCACGCAGGGTAAGTGCAACAATTGTTGTATTTATCATAGAAGTGTATAAGATGCATACTTGGAGATTCTTAAAAAACTTCTCCAAAGAATCAGATTTATCGGAGAAAGCAAATCTCGCATTCGCACTATGTTAAAATTGTTATGATTGAGGAATCCAAGCGATATAAAATTATGAATGGTAACACAAATCGGATTTTTTTGACCTTTTGATTGGTTTAAATGAAATTTACAGCATGAATAATCAGTGCAACTGTATATTATACCGAGCAAATTTGGATACTTTTGAACAATTCTGTCAAAATACTTGGTGCATGACTTATAGGACACTTATCTTAACAACTTAGACAAAAGTAAAACAATATTGATTTTTTCCTCTATAGAATGTCTCAAAGAATCTATCATCCAACATCATAAATTTCAACTTCCTTCTTGGCCAAACATATTTCTGAGCTTAGAAGTGGCCCGTGCATCTCACATCACTTATGTGCGAGGGTTTTTTTTTCAATATTTGAAGAACAGCGAAACATTGTGTTTACTGCGAAAGAAAGTGTTAGGTAAAGAAAAAGAAAAAGATAGACAAGAAAAGAGGAACTAATGCCAATTAAAATAGGAGATTAAACTTTAGAGTAACTATAACCGAGTCTTCCGAAAAAATTCGAGATGAGAAGTTTTGTTACTGCTTGCTGAGGAGTAATAACAAACTTACGGAAGAAACTCATCACATTCTACATGACATTTATAGGCATTTGCAAGCTTAAAAGGAGCTCTTTAGTCACTCAAAGCGGATTAAATGGATAGAGAGGCTCAAATTATGTTATAGAAGCGCACAGACAGGCATGAACAGACATCAAAGACCTCTGGCAGATTTCTCGAGTTTTATGATTCAAAAGAAAACGATGGTCTGCCCATATGTCTTCGCCTAATTCTCGAAACACACGCTAATTAAAATTTTTTAAAATCATCCCACATCACCATGTAATGGCTGCAGGACTTCGCTCTGAGCCATTTCTGCTTGCTTCTGCATCTAATGGGCTGAGGCAGCTTTTTTTATAAAGACGATGCATGCAAATGGATCTAGCTCTTTCATAATTCAGCACATAATGAGATTTCTGGATAAGCTCTAGTCAGCTGACCCTGTTTTGAGAATAAATAAAAGGACATTTCAAAGCTTTTGAACTCTTCAAGCGAGAAGAAAGACTTTCTTTGACATGGTCATAATTGGTTATCACTTCCGCATCAAATAGGAGGAAGAAATTTTTTGTTCCATTAAAAAAAGTTCTCCATCAATGTCTGGTAGCTACATTCTATAAGCTAAATCATGCGACAAAAAACCACACAGCCGGAACTAATGCTTTAAAATTCATGAAAGGATCAGTTTCTTTGAATAAATTTCCTCACGCGAGCTCTGAAGTGACGCTTACAAAAACTAAAATACAGAGCATTCCCTTCTTGTTTATGTAAAAACATACTGACATCATTTTCTAATAGCTCCTTTTTCAACGCAATAATAGCGACGAAGACTGAAGTCTGTCTGCAATTGGAATTCTTGTCGGCCAAAGCACTCTATTTCGTTATTAGCGGCTACCAATAATGGAATATTTGAGTGTTTTTATCCCGTTTGGTAGAGCAGGAAACATAGATGATGAGACGATGGGGTAAATAAGGTGTGGGAGGTAAGAAAACCTTATGGAAGAGAGTGAGAGGTACTCACACAATTGCGGGGTTAGGCGGGTCTTGGAGAGATAGACTGATTTTTTGCCCTCAGTTCGCAGAATCTCAGAAAATGACCACAACCGCTTGCAAGGCGGCTTGTTAATTTTTCATTTTGACGGAAAAAAGCAACCTATCTGCAAAGAACTCAGAGGAAGAAAGCAGTGGCGGCCCAATACCCGTTCGCGGAGGGGGGGGGGGAGGGAGGATGAATTTTTTAGAATGATTCAAGATGATCTTATTTTTGGACGCTTACCAGTATTTTTTGCAGGCCTATGATCCCGTAATTTTAGAAGGGGCCACTCTGACAAAAAATTTTCATACAAAGCTAATATGAAATTTAAACAAATTTTGAAGATTAATTTTATTATTTAAAACTAACAAGTCACTTGCACATTTTTGCTGGAGGAAAGGGATCAAAAGTGGCTTTGGAAAAACGCGTCTCTAGCGTTCTAAAATTTTGCGATCGAATATTTAACAACGCGATTTCCGTTTGACCGCCTACCCGCAATTGTCTGAGAGGAAGATGAAATGAAGATATGTGTAAATTTGGAAGAATTTTCCAAAATTCATAGCTGGACACTCACCTCGAACAATCACGCTCCTGCCGGCCAAAAATCGTACGTCAGCGTTTTCGGGAATGGCAGACGAGCTTCGTTCGATAAAAATCTCGACGTCGTTCACATTGAGCCCACGGGCGCGTAACGGCTCTGAAGATAATCCGCATAACTAAGCTGTTTGTCGTCAGCCAAGACAACGCCATGCTAATCACACAAAAATCCTTGTCAGATACTCCGAACACGATTACCTATCACTCGTAGCTAATATACATTGACGTCAAACTGAATTAACAATATTGCAGTGCGTGCTGATACTCTTGACGCACTTTAAGTTCTGTCATGCTGTGTAGAACGATATTACTGGCTGGTCATTTTTTTGTTATTTTAAACAAAAATACCTCCAAACCCGCACACAGAAAATAAAAATATCCAACAATAAGCGTTTAGATCAAGTTTGAAATCAAAATCTCCGGCCGTCTCCCGCACATTTGCGAACTGCAATATGCACCACCTTTTGGATACCCTAATTTTTTGTTGCATATTTCAAATTAATAGTTGACAATCAGCAGACAAAGATAATATGCAAAGCTAATGCAAAGGCTCGGCACGAGGTGGCTAATTGAAAATGCAAAATACGAAGTCCCCCTTGCCTTTTGCAAATTTTTACGAAGTTCCCTTTGACCTTAGACCATAATCCCTAAAAAATTCCCAAAAAACGAAACGTCGACTAAAAAACAACGTCGCAGTTTTTGCGTCTTTCCGATTTCAAAAACGAAACCCTCTTTGCTTTCTATCCCCAAATGATATCCAGCTTGCTTACAAGCCACCTGTGCCGAGCCCTGGCTAACACTCTTAGTTTCTAATTTTATTGTGAAAAACACTTACTGATGATATTTGCATGAAATTTGGCTTTCTCCAAGGATAGTACAGAAGTTACGGGACTTGATATTATGCGTTGGATCATAAGCTTTTACCATCTCTCATGATCAAAAAATGAAGAAATACCATAAGAGGATATGGAAATGCATATAGTTAGTGTAAATCCAGGGTGCTTTTTGTTTCTAGGTAAATTTTCTTCTAGGTTGACTATCCCATATTCTTGTGCGCCCTTAGATGTCTATAAAAACACAATCCGATAAAATGAGATGCAAAATTCAACATGAATGCTAAAGACGACCATGAGTGACGGGTTCTACTTACTGATGATTTCAAGAAATCTTCTGCGAAGCTTTTGAAGTAAAAAATATATAGTGGAGCTATGTACAGTTACAGCGAAAAATGTACCCTAACTTCAGTTTCAATAAAATCAAGATGGTTAACATCCTACCGAACGAGAAGTTTCTATGACACAAAATAAACAAAAGCAAAGATGATATTGGCGTATTCTTGGATGTGTATCCAGTCCGTGATTCGAAACTCTGAGTTTTTACATCTATCGGTAAATATGTCCCTTATACAACAACGCTAACAATAGTTGACAACATTTTTATGCCAATCGCAACGGTTCAAATATCTGGTTTGAGAGAAAAATGCAAATTCTGATCACCCATGGGAGCTTGCGTCAGACTCGCGTTGCTCTAAATTCATTCGAAAATTCGGTGTTGATTTGGTAAACAATTTGTTTGCAATTAAGATAGTCGCAAACAAGAGGAGGTATGTGCTTGTTTCCTTGGTTAAAAATTTGGAGAAAATTGGTCAAGCTGAATTTAAAACAAACCTTCACCATCAGTTCTATCCAAAAAAAACTCATAATTCTGCAGTTTGCAGGGCGTAGTGTGATGTGATAACATCAAAGTTTTCGCTCCCAAATGGTTATTACTAAATTTGCTAATAAAATAATTCAATCAGCTGCAGTGCATTGACGTTAACACTTCATTTAATAGGTTATTCTGCTAATTCATTCCATTATGTACTTGTTCACCTGACAGCGCTGAAACGAAAACAAAATGACGCAAATAAAGCATAAAATGATGTGTGAAGTATGGTACGTTTGATTTTTTTTAGATGAATGACAGACTTATGGAGATATTAACAAAAATTGTAAGAAAACAATGCCTTCGTTAGCTGGAGTCAAAGTCCGGAAAAAATCAAAGAGATACAGGGTAATGCTTGACGGCTGTCTCGCAGTGGCGTACCAAGGGGGAGGGGGCTTCTTTCCCCGAGAATGGGTCGCGAAATTTTTGAAATTTACTTATAGTGTCACGAAAAAGCGCAAGCGACTTGATTTTACTTGTAAGTACATAAAATAATTTTCAAAGCCTTTTAAAAATTCAAGTTAGCCTTGTAAAAAATTTTTTTCGAGGCATGATTGTGGCAGTGTCCCCTTTTGCTGAAATTTGGGGTTGTGGACCCGCAAAATTTTGGAATCATCCCAAAGAATCTTTCGGAGTGCGTGGTAAAGCCACGCACCGTCATCTCAAAAACTTTTTTGTCGCTCCCTCCCTCCCGAACGGAAATTTTGTGCACGCTACCACTGGCTCCATATAACATTTGACCAAAAGTCTTGTCTTGCACGAAAATCTCTAAATTTGTAAGCTCCTCGATTTTCAATGTCAATATAATAAAAATAGAGGGAAAACTATGTCTTTCATGGTATGATCAGAGCAAAAACTACTTAGGCATGTTGCGGCTATACAAGCTGAAGAATACGTTCATCCAAATTGGATCCCTTTCAGATTTGGCCTTTGAAAATGCTAAAAAATCGAAATAAATCAACTCTTTGTTATGTCCTAATATTAGCTGAGAAGATTCATGCTGGTCGGATGTCTTTACGTAAAAGATTCAAATTTAAATTCTGTAATAACAAAATACTATATAATGAATACTATGAGAAAAAACCTTGTACGGACTGAAACAGTTTTCTGAGCATATGGATGAATAGCGTAGCGGATGTATTCTTTCAGATTTTTTGCAAAAGCTAATTTTCAAAACGAAAATAAAATTTCTTAAAAATGTGACTAGTTTCACAGCGGTCGGGGACATGAGAGAAAATTCTCTTCTCCGTTTTTGGCTATGCGAGCGCTTCATCCTAGTAACGGTTGAAAGAGTGCTGAGAACATTGAGAGTGTGCATATCCGCTGTCAACAAAAAAATCTTCGGAGCGATGAGCAGCAAGCTAGAAAAAGCAACAGAAACTTTTTATTGCAAAATTATTCGCGAGACTTAGGTATTAGCCTAGTGAAAGAGGGGAATGCAGTGCGTATCCGAAAATCTCTGGAATATTTCAGATAATTCTCATTTGTAAACCTTTTCACCATGAGACAAGATGACCTTCATCTCTGAGCATCTTAACATCTGGATCCTACAGCTGGAAAGACGAATAAATTTCTTGGTGAGAGCATGACTCTCCCGTCGTTAATTTCTTCCTCTTAGTAATTAGCAGTTTAGAGTAAACGATGTCTTTTTCCTTGATGGGTTTTGGCAGAAAAATGTCGTAGAAGTTATGCAATTTCTATGTGGAACCGATGCTAGAGGACGTCTGCAAACTACATCTGAGAGCAAAAACAAGAGGTGAACATTGCCCAGTGAAAGTTCTATGGTCGAAATTCCTTTACTTTGAAATGGGTTCGCTTTGTACATAAGGTCAGCCTTACCATAGTCAAGAAGCTGCTAGAATGTAGGAAGAACTTGAATGTAAGAAGCATACGCACTCAACTATGTGAAGTTCCTCTAAGCTAAATAGTTTGTATAGGGTTGTCTCCAATCATGGAGTTTACAGAGACTGTGATAGGGGTCGAGAAACCACCTGCGAGATGAATGAACATAATACGAATAGTGAGATTGCAAATAAAAATTCCTTATAAGACATTGCAATCGGCTGAAGTGCGACTTAATTTAGCCTCAAAGGGCATTAACGTCAATATTCTCATAAGTATTTTATCGACAGAAGTCGCTAGGAAAAAGGCGTTGATTAGAGAATAGTTGAACTCGTATCTTAAACTTCATACGATTGAAGTGACAGGGAAAACGCCCGTTATCAAACCGTTTCAGGGTTTTTTCGAACCAAAAGAGCCAAAATGTCCTTGAGTAGAATTAACTTGAGAGATGAGCAGTGGTAGAATATGGATTCCTGGTTATTGTCTATTATTGTTCTATTGACTGAACATTTTATTTTTTTTGGAAGTTATTCACGCAAAAATATCAACCAAATAACTCGATTATCAATAAATTCGCGTCAAAACCATGTTCCCTCACAGGGTTCCTCTGTTTTACCGAATCGATTGATCCTACTCCATGGAGAAAACAAAAGTCAATGTGAAGATTCAGTGACAAAGAGCTAAGAAATGAATCTGTGACATGCTGTATCAAGATTACCCCCCCCCCCCTCAAAAAGAATCTCATTTGGGATTCAACTTTTGGCTTCTGCTCTTTTTGATATTATAGACCTCTCAGCGTTTTTAGATTTTGCAGCAAGGGAATGCTGTCAAACACGGACAGCTTACAACAAAATTCAGATTAGGAAATTCTAAGGAGCTAACTTTTGACTGAGTCACACTAAGCATCGTCAAATCTCTTCGAATCTTTTACGTAAAAAAACTTATCAGAGCTTTCAAAAGCTAGCTAACTTATGAGTGAAGTCTGTGCTATGTTCGTCAACCATCAAACTGTTTAGAAAACCACGATAAAACGTTTGAGAGATGTTGGTGTAATTCATGTACAACTGTGTCCGAAAATTTTAAAACCCATTAAACATCTCGAGGAGCAAAAGATAGTTGAACACACTTTGTATGCTAATATGAAAAGTTTGCAAAATTCAGTTTCTGCAAAATAAGTTCAAATACTTGATAAGAAACTAAGTTTCAATAATGATTTGGATTTGAAGGTTTCGATCACATATTTAAGGTTTTTTTTGTACAATTGCACCTGAGTCTATCGTGATTAAAATCAGCTTCAAATTCAAATATTTGGTGAGCATGTCTGAGCGTCTGTCTGATGCATCCTACAATGTCCACTGAAGTACAGGAACTTAATATATTTTCTAAATGAGCACAAAAAGAAAAACCAATTAATGAGCTGCAAATAAGAATGAAGGATCTAAGCTGCAGCTACTCCTTTAGGTTTTTGGAAAACTCATAGCTCACATTTCTCCGTGGCTAGGAATTCTCCAGAAAAGCATGAGATTCCAAGTTGTGCGACATCTCTCGTCAAAATTTTCAAACATCAAGGCTTAGCCAATCAAGCAAATTGATTCAAAAAACAGCTAGAGCCATCTATGCAATGAGAGACAACATATAACTGATTGACGGATGCACATTACATGTGACCAGCATGTAAGCAGCACATATTGTACTTCTGGTAAAAGTTGAAATCTTCACATTGTTGGCCTTCTCCGAACCATGGGACACCATAAGGAAAAGGGAGAAATGAGCGCAGATATTGGATGCATACGGGTAGGATAGGACACGTTACAAAAAAAAAACAGATCATTTGCATTCTCACGCGTCAAGTAAAAAATTTCAACTACTGTTGAAGATGTGTTGTAAAAAGGCAGCAAGTTCAACACAGTCGAAAGTTTTAAATGAGCAGAGCTTTAAGGTTAGCGCAATGGTTCGAGTTTCTAAGAATCTAGAAAATTTACCTACAAACTTTTGGTACTCTTTTATTTATTACTTGTGCATAGCAAGTGTCCTAATCAGAAGTTTTATGGTATGTTGTCCCAGTACCGGAAATTCAAGCTCCCCCAAGTGCTTTTGCAAAAGTTGCACTTGCGACGAGCTCGTCTGCCTCTGCCAAGAGGTTTTTTCTCAAAGGCTCGCCGAGAGTTTCTTCCTCGAACTAGCCACTTCAAACATGACTGAATCGTCCCGTATCAAAGTCGGGCTGAGAATCAAGTCAAAAAATAAACGTTGCTTGTTGACTCACTGTTGCCGAGGAATGAGAATGCGGAGAAAAACTGCGATGTATTACTCAGAAAGGCAAACATAAGCTTATCGGGGCAAGATGAGCACAAACCTTCGAACACTTGGTAGAGCTTCAAACCCGGCTCGACTGGAATCTTCTCGGAAGCATTGTCGCAGTCCTGAAAACGGAAACAAAGTGAGCAGAGGGTAGCCGATCGGCAGCTCAAGCGGAAAAAGTTGGAAAGCAAACAGCGACTGTGTACCGACGTACCGGAAAGTGAGCAACCATGTATGCTGGTCCTTCAATGTCCATGCCGTGGTAGTGCTGAAACATGAACACTTTGCTCGAAACTAGTCCCACAAACATAGCTTTTGCGCTTGCAAAACATGGCCGACGCTGATGGTGGCCTGTCTCTCGCTCCTTCTGTACTAGACACTCTAGACATCGGGTTCCATTTAGCTTCAGCCTCAAAGGCTTCTTCTTTTCGGAAAGAAGAAGCCGTTCCTTATAGAGCCAGTGAGGGGTTAAAAAGCGTTTATTTTGACTAGGGTCAATTGTGCTTTCCAAAGAGTCACAAAGAATGATTCACATTTCATTCTACAGAAAATTGCATTTTGTGGTTTAACTTAGAAGCTAACCGAGTCGAATGTGACTTTCTGCAACTACAAGTAGTAAAAAACTTTGAATTCCAACACAGGGGCTTTTCAAGTAGCGAGGCTTAGTGAGCTGTTTGATTAGTCATAAAATTACCAAATGCCAAAACTTTTACCGAAAAAGCGAAGGAAATACTGACCGGGTAGTTATATCGCTTTTGAGGTTTCTGATCAGCTATCTTTACCCGAAAATTTCCTTCCTTTCGAACCTAAATAATTACACGGCCTTCTGCTATGCCTTTTTATGAACCGAGAAAAAATTAAGAATTTAAAACTGTGCTCTTCAAGTTTTTGTGCCTACTTCGCAAAAACTGATGCCGAAAGCCGTGCTCAACGACACACTTGGTCAGTAGGGCCATTTTGTAATGCTGGAATTCTGCTACAAAGAGCAAAAAACGATTTTGGGGGTGCCGAAGCAAAGAAAATGTACAAAGTTCGCTGAGGTTTAATTCTCGTGGCTGCGAAATATTGGCAACAAACGGCCATTTTCGATAAAATGCTAGTTCGAGACCACCTAGGTGCTGATTTTGAATCTACTGGTCAAGATTAGTGCGAGATGAAGTTATCGGTCGTTTATTGCGTGGAGAAATCCTACTTCACACAACGTGATAGGTAGGTAAAATTGTAGGTAAAGGTGATAGATAAAATGCAAAATTGGTTTGGAGGCGCTTTCTTCTCAGATGTACTCCCTAGTTCGAGAAGATCAGTGGGAAGAATGGGAAGAATTCAGAAGGACATTTGGTCATGTGATGAAAAGTCAATATTCACAACTACTCGATCTAGACGATTGCCTTTGACATTTTGAACAAATCTACAGCAGACACTAAATAAATTGCTGGTAAGCGTTTGGTCGCGACCATATTGTGTGTCTTATTTATATAAGGATCAAGGCAGTTTTATGATCGTTTTTTGATTATTAAATTACGTGGGCTGTTTCCGAAGCTGCTAAATTCGAGTTACGGTAGCTGTTTAGCCCTTTGCGTTCAAAGTCGTCGAAGTACGCTGGAAAAAGAAGGAAGCTGAGCAGAATATTCGTTCTTAGAATTGCATCCTGATCTTTTCAGAAATTGGTTTGCCCTTTTGTTCGACCCATATATCACTATGAAAATCGTTCGCATGGGTTACACACGTGACACCATGACGCTTTCATACATAATTTTCGTGATTGTTGAGAGAATCCGAACACGAATATTGAAGAGGATAATCGTACTTTCACTTCGTGTCAGTAGATTTGAGGTGTTTTTTTTTAACTGTCTCGGATGATAAGCATCATCAGCATTTCTTGGCTCATTAAAAAGGTAACTCCATGATAGCATGAACTTATAGAGGGCACTTCTAGAGAGAGGAAATTCAAAAAATCTGTAAAAAAAACTTCAGTAAATTAAGAAAATGGAATTCTGCTAGATAACTACGCGGTTCATATTTCAAGCATCATATAGAGATTTTTGCGGTATTCTATATAAATCCATGTTGGGACAATGATAGAAACAAGAAATTAGGGAGGATCAACCAAGTATTGATTTTTCAAACTTTTTGCCACTCCCATAATCCTTTCTCTGGTACCGAGTAATTTTTTCATTGCTTTGAAAGGGACCAGCAAAAGCAAAAACAGCGAGTCTTCAGCTATTCATATAGCGTTCGGAAGTCGCAACCATTGTTGCTGTTTTCGCCGATGGTTCAGCGTAAACAACCGAACCTATCTAGGTTGCATCTCGCAATATTTCACCCCCAAGCGGACGGGCCCCCCGAGGAATGCACGGGTACGCGTGAGTATGTTGCGCGAATGTCCTTGGAAGAGTCGGATATAATTGACCCGATTCGTATTCGGTTGGAAACACGGGTAAACATTATGCGAACCGATATTTCATGTCCCCCCCCCCTGTTCGTGTCTCGAGAAAGGAATTCCATTCTCGAGACACGAATAAAACTGAGGAGAGGTGGTGCCTGAAAGGGACTCGAGAGCGACATGATCTTACCATGGCGGCGATTTGACTCAAGAGTTGTTGTCGCTTGAATGAGGACTTTTTCTTCACAGCTGACATTTTCACACATAAGTGGTGGAGTTGAGTCTGAACGGAATATGGAAGCCTTAGCGATGAAAAATACGATTCGATGAGAGCGAGTTGGTTCACAACGAAAGAGACCACACGGGGCGAGAGTTACGATCGTGAGACGGCACTTCGGCCGGCAATACATACTGTTTCGGACGATGAGCAGCTCAAATTCACACGCTAAGGAACAGAAGTGGGAATCCAGCCAACCCTGGCTTCACCGTGGCATCGAAAAATTCAGAATACAAGTTATCCCCAAGGCAATAAAATAAGGGGTGTTCTCATAGGCGCAAAAAATGCACTTGCAAGGACATTTGTATTTTGGAAAATCGGACAACTGCAATGTGAGAGGCGTGTAGCGAATCGCATGTCCGTTCCTGGCAGATAAGATGAGAAGAGAGCCGACTGATGGGAACAGATTGTCCATTATCAAGTTTTACGACGTTGCAAGCGCATTAGGTTTACATAGTTAGCAAGTGTCATAATATTAGGTTGGCACATAGGTAATGCAACTTTTTATATAACTTTTGTCTATTTGAAGGTAGCGCACTCATTTTTTGGCAATATAAGGAATATGATGTAAGCTTCTAATGCACACATTTTTGCCGAACTTTACCATCTTATGTGAGGATTACGGTAGGTTTACGGTACTATGGGAAAAATTTTAGAATGCATCAGATTTTGCTGAAACTTGGCCAATAGGGCTTATTTGACATGCTGATCACAAAAATGAGATCCGTTTCGCATGAAAAGGCCTCGTTCGTGAAATCAAAAGATGAATTTCATTTTAGCGACAAATGAATATGATATTCGTGTTTACCGCATAGGATTACTCTATGGTGCTACGTTATAGCGAATTCTGACTTTTCGCAGCTTAGTTATTGACAAATTGCCTTCAAAACTTGACGCATTTGACTTGTTCAACTTCTCAAAGGCGCCCCACCTTAATTTGTGTTTAAATTTCATTTCTTTTTCACTGATTCCGATGTGCCAACTTCCAGCTACGTGCTGCCTATAATTGCTTTTTCATATGTTTGAATCAGGTTTCGTAGGGCTTCATGTTTGCCAAAAAATCGTGAAACCTCGATTTTCAGCACTTTTCAAAAAAATGCTTAGATTTTTTGTACTACGTTATCAAAAATCAAACGGTTTGCGCAGACTTGCAGCTTACATCACGATCTACAAGATGCCACAAAATGAGATTGCTACATAAAATAGGAAAAAAAGTTACAAGAAAAGTTGCAAAACTTATGTGCCAACCTAATATGATCTTAGCACCTTTCCAGAATTTCATCTAGTAACTTTCCTTATTATTGAGAAGAAAGAACAGAGCCTGCTCGAGAAACAGCTTCTCAGGAAACCGATTTCAAAGTCATAAAGTGACACGACAAAAACTGAAAACTTTGTCTTTGGCACTTAATTACGCGCGATATCACTTTTTTTACCAAGGTATATTCACTATCTTTTTCTTGGATTATTGTCTTCTCTTTAACTCAAGGTTTTTTCGAGCTTGTAGTTTAGTTTCAAAGCTTTGAGCAATTTCTTTCATGATATGCTTCAAGATACAATTTATTCCGCATTACTAACGAGGCAGAGTTTTTGTAAGCAAACTGGTCATCCAAGTACGATTTTGAATAATTTCAAATACAATCGAATTCAAAAGTAATCGATTCTAGCGATACAAATAGCTAGAACATGTCGGCTTGAAATCTATAACGTCTTCTCGATAAAATAAAATAAAATCACACTTTATCATGTTAACGTATTAAAGGCAGCGTCCAGGCAGATCTGGACCTATGGGGCTTTTACGTGGAAAGTACTTTTGGGGCCCTAACTAAGGCACTGCCCAAGCGGCAGCTCATGTAGTGCTGTAATGGCTGAGATATTCCCCTCGAAACTGGACCCCGCGACCGTGTTTCGCATGGATTCGTGGCGCAAAGCTGGATCCTGGCGCGAAACTGCCATGAATCCATGCGAATACGTTCGCGGGGGCCAGTCTCGAGGGGAATATCTCAGCCATTAAAGCACTACCTGAGTTGCCGCTTGGGCAGTGCCTTAGTTAGGCCCCAAAAGTACTTTCCACGTAAAAGCCCAATAGGTCCAGATCTGCCTGGACGCTGCCTTTAAGCTCAGAGTGTCATGCGGCAGTGAAAGTAAAAAAATCGAAGACGAACTGCTCTTGTGTTTGAGTGGATAAATTTAGCAAAAGAACTAATGAAATGTAGAACGAAAATAGTACCTAGAAAAATCACAAATCCAAATTGAAATTCTTTTACATATGGTTGGTGCTGGAGTTATCTGTTCTTTAGACATGTCCATAAGCCATGATCGCATATTTCAGCCAGCGATGAGTAATTTTCTTCCGTTTTCCATTTTTTCAAAAAAAAAAACCCTCTCAAAACACTTTCTAAAAAATCAAAAATTTCGTTCATTTGTAGCAAATGTTTCACGCTACCTCATTTCAAATGGCTTGTCGACCTCTTTTAGAGAAGTACAAGTCCACAAATCACTGAATTCTACTCAATTTAAAAAGGATGAAAACGACTTGAAAGTAAAATTCATTTGTGATGTTCGTTTTATCACTGTTTCCGAGAACAAATCATCTTTTCATTCTGTTTTCAACACTCTAATGTGTTCGAGTGGTCCTACTAAAATACAGCTTATAAAAATTTCAGACAGTGTCCTAACAGTAAGAGGTTTTGTTTGATCAGGAGCCATGCTGGCAAACGTTGCTGTGCAGAGAATGAAATAGTGTTTGGATTGAAATCTACAAAAAGAAGGTTGCGAATTGTGAATTTCTACAACAGAAATTGAATTTAATCCTTGTTCTCATGAAGTTATAGCAGGTAGAAACTTGACATTACTTAAATCTAAACCAGATGTAACTAACAGAAACATACACTTCATCGTATTATGGCTATGGAGCAGTTACATTTTTTTACGTCACTCGAAGAGGAAATTGAAATGAAACGGGTTTCTAGATAATTTTGTGATTTTAATTTGGTGACTCAGAGCAAATTGTTGTGCATTTAGCAACAAAGTGTTTACATCCCTTGAACTAGAACATGAAAATTACAGATTCCTGGTTAGTAGGTAGTAGGTTTCCTTCTGTCAGCTGGCACTCGCGCCGCCTCGATTCTCTCATCAAACCTTATTGATAAGAAGGGACTGAGGAAACAAAGACAAAGATCACAGCATCGATGAGACGAGTTATTAATTTTTGGACATTTCGTACTTTTGAGGTAAAAGCTTTGATAAAATTCGCACCAAACAGGAAAATGTTTTTGTCATTATTCATCGTGCAGATAATTAGCAGTTCATATCTTTGCGAGGCGATTAATCTACATAAAAATGTATTACAAACACGTAATTGGGTACGGAATAAATTCGAAGCATTGTTGTAAAAATGCTAATTTCACACTTCTTGAAAAACGTAATAGATCATAGCACGAATGCGTTTTTCGGAACAAATGGATTGCTTTCTGAGAAAAATTTTTTTGTGATTTGATATGTTTTAAAGAGAATAAATTATTTATTCTTGAATCAGACGTTGTCAGCTGCAGAGTTTTTCTTTTTTCGAAGATTGGATACTTTAACTTATGAGAACAAATCTCCTTCAATTATACTTAATGGCTTTCAAGGTCTCAATTATCCGCTCAATGCTTTGCGCGTTTGATTTGCGCTTAGTCAACTTTGATTTTTAGAAAAATCATATAACCATTGTTTGGTCAAAAAAGGGTCACAAGCTTCTAGTGCTCGCGACAATCTGAATGTCGTGGGAATTCATTGGTACCCAAAGTAATTATCTAGGGATAGTAACAAAAAACTGCTATATTAGTAGCGCAAACGTTCAAGCTATATAAATTTGAACAAAAAAGTACAGCAAAAAATAGTGAAGATGAAATGAAGACAAAAGAACTATGATCAGCAAGTGCAGTGCAGAAAGTGCGAGTTGGTGCAATGGCGGACGAATCTAGCAGCTTCGCCGAGCCAAGCGGGTGGCTGGTGTTCGTTGGCCAGATAAGCGGTTTTGATAGACCGCCTAGTGGCAGTGCAAGTGGCAGAAACACTCGTTGATTCGGAACAATTATCGTACATTTGGGTGTATCATGCACGGGTAATGTGGGTTTGTCCCGCATTGCAATGTGTTTTTCAAATTTACGAAGTCCAAATAAGCTGAAATTTTTGATAAACGGGTTTTTCTGTGTGACCAGGTTGTTGCATGTCATGCTCAAAACATTGACCTTTATTTGGAGTGAAGAATAAATCTTGAGAGTCAAAACATAAGAGGATCCAGAATATCTGACCTGAAATCATGACATAGCTATTAGCCATCTTTTCAAACTATTTATGTAAATAATTTTGATGTTCCTTATATTTTTCTTAGAGCATTGCACCCGCTTGTTTTAAAGATGAAACATCACGCATTGATTATTAAAGTTATAACTTATACAGCACTATTGACTAAAAGAAATTAGCTCCATGGGAAGTGTCAGCCATCACGCACTTTGACATGATAGGAGCCTTTTCATTTTGTACTTTTACCGTAGTCATTAACTTTCGAAAGCCTTTTTTCTACTACTGTGTTGCAACTTGCTCCGGAAGTACATACTACTTACATCATCAATTTTGATGAGAGCCTGATTCGCAAAAAGGAATACCCATCTTTGAGCTGCAATGACTTGAAAGAACATCCATCGTTATGCAAAACAGTTTCTCGAAAGAAACTGAGAGAATTTTCATTTGCCAAAAAAGCAGTTTGAGCTACTTGTGTTCCTTTGCACAGCTAGTTGGAACCACCTTTTCCTTTCGTCCTTTCGTTTCTGCCCTTTCCTTTCTGACTAGCCGACGCCTTTGTAGACAGAACTGTACTTTCAAAGAACGTTTTGAAATATATTTGCACTAGAGTGCACAGCAAGCAAGACTTTGGTGATCTTTGCGCAAAATCTGATCGAAGGGTAAGTTGAGTTCTAATTTGCTATGTTTGGAAAAGATAATCTTATTGTTGCATGGCGTTTTGGATATGTAAAGGTCACATATTACAAAGATCTCTGCCTCTTCCAAAAGTGCAAGAACCAGCTGCACTAAAAATGTACCCATGGTGTTATAGTCTACTAAATTCGGCAGCACATGAAGCTCTTATCAAAAGTCTGCTATCTATGGCCGCAAACATTGTCCTAATAAGCTCATCTTCTCCTTATCTCTCTTCTCACATCCTTACGAAATTTGTGCTCAAAGTCGCTTATTGGTGCTTTTTTTCTTTTTGTTATTGCATTTAGTTTTGAGCTACCTTTCATCGTTTTCGAGGTGGCACGCCTTAAAAGTATCATTTGATAAAGTAATCACTTCACACGCTTTGTCGACATCATTGGAGAGTAGAAAACGTTGTAGGAGTAAACTTGAATATGAGCGCCCTATGACCATTTTTACGCGCAAATGTTGTTGGTACCGCGAAGGCGCTACAGTAACAGTCAAACTTTCTAGACTGTAAGGACAACTAATGAAATCAGCTTGTGACATACTCAAGATGCCTTTTTAAGATGACCGTCCGGTAAAGCCCAGAAAGGAAACCACCAATGAGTTTGCACTTACCAGCCATTTTTTTCGTGCAAACCTTGCCCTAACCCTGCAAACTCCGATTGAGCTCTTCCATTATGAGGTTATGATCAATAATCCGTCAAATGGTGCGTAAACGATTTGTGTGCGTACGTGTGTGTCGTCAACGGAAAGGTGAATCAAGTTTTTTTCTGTTGCTATCGGCCGACGACATTACGCATGACAAGCGGCATTGTTTTGTAGAAACATATAAGGACATATTGCTCGATGCGCAGCCATAGCTTGGATTCAATCTCAAAATGCACTTGGGCAGGAAGGGAGGAAAGAGAGGGAAGGAGGTGGGGAGTTCAAAATGTGTCATTTTGCTGTTGTTCGATTTCGTTCTTGGAAGGAAGAAGTACAGAAAAAGAAAGAGCAAAAAATTGTGAGCTGCCAAGTATCATTTCATATTGATTAGCATTTTATTCTACGTAAAGAGGAAAAAGAGGGAAAGAATAACGATAGACAAATAACCTTAAGCTAAGCACGGCCTCCACCAAGCTAATCATTTTTCTTGACAAAAATAGTTGGAAAATGACTACGAAATACTGGTGTTGTACATACAAAATACATATTTCCGCGAAAAGTGTTTCTTTTTGATCAAAGTCTATAAATGAGAGATTATAGCATTTTGTCGCTAATGAAGCACTTCCGATAATCAGGAGATTTCTGCAAAATTGTTCGTTATGATATGGGGTATGTAGTCTTGAAATGAGCTCCTTCATTACCTCATTCCTTTCATGGGAATGCGTATATTTGGCTCACTCTCTGTATGCAATATGGAATATGTAATGTGGAAGAAGTAAGTCGGGATTTTGCGTAACTTTTGCAGAGAAACTGAGGGCTTCATGTCACTGGAATTTGTGCCTTTAACCCAACCCAAACTCAAAAATTATATGCCCTGGTAATTTACCAAAAATGCTCCATATAGATCTCTTAAATACCTTGTTTGACGGAGCATAAACGTTTTTGTTTGGGTCAAAGGGTCCCTTATCCTCCTAAGTGATGTCTTGACTAAAAAAAAGCAGATACAAAGCTCCTAATCTCCAATAGTTTGATAGAACATGCTCATGACGGGCAAGGAAGGCGAAAGAGGGCAAGGGACACAAGTAATAAGGTCGGTACGAGTTTTATTGCCTTTTAAAGATGGCCGATCCCTATCAACAGCGAGAAACTTAGTATATGTAGGAGCTGCAAAAAACCAGGTACTAACCTTAGATTAGTACTAGGCAACAAAAAGAACGGATAGAAGCATTTTAGTGGGTGCTAGCCACGTACCAGTATTAACAAAAAAACGAGGTGGTTACCTAAACAAAAACGTTTATGCTTCGTCAAACAAGGTATTTAAGAGATCTATATGGAGCATTTTTGGTAAATTAGCTAGGGACATAAGCGTGCGCTTCATTCCAAATTAGAGAAAAACTGCTTCTTCTAGTGAGCGTAAATAAAATTCTAGCATAAAAGCCACCTTCCGAAGAGCCACCGGGTATATGGCTTCTCCTCAAAAAAAAAGAAAACATGCCGTTTAGAGCGTGAAGCTGTTGCACAGGCCATTTCGGTTGATGTCACCACGCAAAGGTAAACAGAATAAAAGCGGTACGGAACGTGGCAAAAGTTCGAGAGCACGAAGATGGCTGGAGATTTGCAATCGCTGCAAACTGCTGCACTAGCAACTTGGAGAACTCTTAGGTTTTCACGTAGCAATCACAACTGCTCATGAAAAAAAAACCTCTGAAACCATTAGCAAAAGGAGAGAAAAGCGCAATGTTTTGTGCGCGAAGCTGAGGCAGTTTAGGGGCGACAGACAGGTCACCAAGGTCGGCTACGACAGTAACAGCGTGGCTGCCAACATAGCCGTCATGTTTCGGCGCAGAGTTCTTTAATCAAAAGTGCGGTGGCAACTTACCATCGCATCGTGGAATTCGACGAGAGAAGGACGTCGTGTCTTCGTGTGGCCCACACTGCTCATCGTTCGAGCCGTCGATGTGCTCGGTATAGCGGTCAGAACAGCTTGTTGCTGGATTACGGGTAGTGATGGTCGACGGGACCTCGAGCCACGACTGGTGTCCTCTCGTAGGCAACTGGAAATGAAACATTTTGAAGTAAATTGAGAATGACCGAAAAACCTCGGCTATTCGTATTCATCAACGAGCTAGAGGTCGAAACTTTTCTAGAGGGACTTTTTCTACACCCAAGGTAAAATCCACTTCAAAATGTGCTGAAAATACCAATCATCATATCGTCGAGTTATTTGTAGCTCAGTATGTGAGCCTGCAAACTACGCGCGGCAGCCGACGACCTATTTATTAGTTGCTCAGTAAAATCTTCTTTAGCGTAAGTAGCAAACTTTAAAGATCGTCACTACTGACTAATGTATATCCCCGAACAAAAGAGACAAGGATGCAGAAAAATAACTAAAAATGAGCAAGTTTCCACATTACATGTCGTCAACTAGCGCGCATTGTGTATACGCATGCTGGGGAGCAGATAACTTGAGGATAGCTGAAGTATCAGTCTTTTAGGATGAGCAGCTCCAGCCAAACCTGTGTGAACGACTTCTATATGGTGCGAGGATTTATTGCTAGCTAAGCCATACTGCAGCTCATATAAATCACTCCTGGCCAAAAATTTCAATTCAAACTTTAATACCGTAAACCTTTCCAAAAGGACCAATCAGCGTCCACGAGTACGCTGAGAAATACGTGGCTATTGTTTAAAGTCATATTTGCCGATCATATATCAATCATAAGAGCTGAAATTTGGGCAATGGCTTAGCTAAACCTTTCTAGTCAGTTTCCATATGAGAACCAACTTTGAGTGAATTTTGACCTCAAAGCTCGATGATGAATACGCTGACGGTGTCGTATTTATGGTGTTCAAACGCGGAATATTGTTAGTGTAAGTTTGTTAGTCACGAAGAAAAACCAGGTTTTCATGGATATAGATCAGTGCAGTATTCTCATGAAAGATAAATTAACTAGACGTTTTTCGACACCTTTTATGTACCTGAAACGCATACAAAACAATTTTTCATCAGTGGTTTAGTCTAATAGTATTTCGAACATCTAGGTACTTTTGGTTCCACTGAGTAGTGTTTCGGAGCGAAAAACGAAATCGAAAATCTATCTGCGCGAGAGCTATCTTGATCAAAATTCCATTGCTAAAGTTTGTATAGCCAGTAAGCAATAAAATGCATGGAGAAAGGGAGCGAACATAAACTTTTATTTCCAAGTTATCTATCGCCATCTGGCAGAAAGACATCGAATGACCTGCTAAAGCAAAGTATTATAATAAAACACAGGTGTTCTAAAACTTGTTTGTTTATGCGTCAGTCCCATCGTAAAATTCAAAGCACGCATAAAAGTAAGGCGGAAGAGTCAGTTTTGACAGCTTAACATTTTGTACATAACGCTTGAAATTCCTACAGTTTGCTCGGAAAAAACTAAAGTTCAAAATTGCTCTGACCTGATGTTAGTTTAGGAAATAGTTCATGTCAAAGTAGGGTTGTTAGAGAGAGAGGATAAGGTTCACATTACAAGTGGAGGACAATTTCAGACATGACCCAGTTGTGAAACTGACGCAAACGTCATTAGAGCGATGGACATGACTCAACTTTTTGCTCGGATTTGGATGAGTTGTGGATGCATGGAATCAAAGACACAAATGGGGTTGTGACTGTCACAACGATGTCTATACATTGCTTCTGACCACCCAGGTGTACGGAAATTTTGGGAGCAAGATTATTTGGGCAATATGGATTGCCATGGTCAAAAAGCGAGATTGTACGATTATGTGAGGTTTATTTTTCAAAAATTGAGTGGGATTCTGGAACGAGAACTTAGGAAAATGGTAGAGAAATAGCCTCAGATTTAGTGGAAGAAAGCCTTATGTTGTAAAAAAAATGGCCGTGAAATTTTGCTTTGAAGCTTGAGAGTAGGAAAACATGCTCTGATTTCGCTATGAGAATTCTTTTAAAACAGAATCAAACCTCTTGTAGATGTGGAGAAAAAATTGGGGCACATTTAATGTGGATCTCTATGTAAGAGAAAAATTTTTATAGCCGTAAAAAGCTTAAAAGTGTGGAAGAATTCTTGGGCCACCTTTTGGTAAGTTGAACCTATCGAAATATGTGCCAAACAAGCAAATTCTAGCGGTATTTATGCGCGGATAAAATTACAAAACCAGGGGTTGCATCCGGAGGAGTATTTACTACATTATTATACAGTTTCATACTAGAGAACCTGCAAGACTCGGAAAAATGGAGCCAAAAAAATAGGCGGAGCTAAAACCATGACTGTAAACTCAACGCTTCCTGTTTTGCAGAGGTAACCTAGATTTTGATCACAATTTTAAAAAAATCCTTGTCGAGCCCCGTTTCATTTACAGTAGCCCCACGAGAGCAGTAAGCCTCGAAACACTTCAGCTGTTGTCTATGCAAGTTCCTCTAATCAAATGCACATCGACTGCTACACTCGATTTGTGCGAGGGTGGTCGAAACAAATTGGGCGACTCGTTTAGGTTGTGTGTCTGGCCGCTGGTCACTCTATAAACTAGTTATAGCCCCTGGAAAGGGTTTTTCCGGCCTTGACGAGGGCCAGAACTGGACGACTACTCGGTCTGTTGTCTCATTAGGTGCTTATGATGAACACCTCCAAATCTCCAGACTAGATTGGACTGAATGTTTTGAAGACAAGCGCTCTGCTTAGGATGGAGAGTAGTAAGAGTGAGACCAAAAGGGGCTAATGAGGCAATGAGCTAAGGGAATGAGTGGGAATGATTGTAACCAGATGGAGTGGATAAGAAAAGGGAAACTAAGCAAGATCTAAGCAGTTCGAGCTAAAGTTCGAAGTGCGCTCTGGCTGCAGACGAGGAATGTCGGCGAAGTGAAAGAAAGACAGCCCGGTGACGGTGTCCGGTTCGGATGCGAGAGCAGATAACATCAAAATTCTGTGCCCAGCAGATGTCGCACCTCACTCATTCGCTCGGCACAATGCATCCGCTCTCTCTTTCACTTTCAGCACTCTGCCCTTCTGCTTCCAGAACGGTCAGGATTGATGGAGTGGAATAGGCTAGATTAGGAGACCAGTCTCCATACACTAAATGAACCTTTCGTTTGGGCGACCTTTTTTTGGCAGAGGCTGAGCGCAGTGCTTGACACTTCATGAAATTGCTTTAATTTGTCATCTAAGCAGGGAGCTGCAAAAGAAAGATCGAAGCTTGCTAGATGCTTGGAGATACGAGGTCTAATTCTTTTAGGACATCTCGTCCATAAAGCGCTAGTTGATGAAAAATCAAAAGTTTACCTGAGATTGAAGCATTCCATTAATTTTGGAATATTACGTTTGAATATTCGAGTTATCTTTTAACTTCCAAGAAATTCTTGAGGGAAAATGTGCACTTCTCCAATCTAGAAACTTGCAAATCTAGAAATTTTGCTAATTTTGCAAAGTTAACAGAGCTATTTCACTATCATAAACTTTTATGCGAACTTTTCGGCGAGAAGCGTTTAATCATCCCTTAAACAATGTTTCCTCACTCTAGAAAAAATTGCATGTCTACATACCTAACCCTTCGTATGATAGGAAAGAAAAAAATTAGATGAGCACCACTCTTTTTTTTCTTGTCCTAAAAAAACGTAATCCGGAGTTATAGGAACTGCAAATGAAGTTGATAAGAAAATCGCAATATTTACTTATATTTGCAGATTAATGCAGTGAACCACCAATAGAGTTCTTTAGTCGAGACTTATTGGAGTTTTTGGTAAGCATAGACCGCTTGAACGAAGAAAAAGTCTCATTTAGGCTCTTTGATGGGGTGCAACATTTACCGAGTGAGCTGAGGAGACTTATGAAGCTTTTTTCAACTTCCTAGCTCCCACTACTCCTAGGCATTTGTTGAGGAGGACAGCAGCCGAACCTCACAATAACAGTGCGGAAGCTATGGCGTTAACCAATTTTCCGAAATAATCTGTCAAAAGCCATGTTGCGGTACCTCGGTGATTTTCGAGGTCACCCCTCAGTGGGTAATTGCCATAACCAACATCGCGCACTCGGAAACCGGAAAAAAGAGCACGACCTTCGGGCATTCCCCCTCCCCGCTCCCTTATTGCTCGAGTAAGGAGGTGAATTCTGCGCCAATAACAAAACATCTCTTTCGAAGGAAGGTGAAGAGCAGGAATTGGACGCGCAGCTCGAAGGACGTAAACCACACTTGGAAAAGTGAGGTGGAGAATGGGAGGGTACAAGACCCGTTTGGGAAGCGATGCTAGATGAGGTTCCACTAGTGAGCGACTAACAAGTGCTCATGAAGTGCCTGATGTTTTTGTTTAGAGGAAATTATACCGCTATTGCAAAGATAAATGTGCATTCTTGGAAATTTCTAGAAAACAGGTGTCTACCCAAGTGCCAGATTACTTCTCTCTGCGTTATTATAGCAATAAAATTTTGAGAAATGTTAGAAAACAGCTTCACTAGACTATATCGCAGTAAAACAAGTAGAATGCTTTTTACGCTGCCGGTTCTAGTTCCACTCTCTCAATTCTATAGCCCACAATAATCCCTAGAACTACATTATTCTGTATTTTGAACAATTATCACGTCACAGTATCTCTCTTTATCCCGCTAGGAACTGGTTTTCAATTGCGCGCACGCACCCGAACACCGATCTGTTCCGTGTACGTCGAGACAAGCTATGAACAAAGATTTTTGCAAGACTGGTCCTCTTAGCTCTTCGGTTATTTCGGTCGACGAGGAAAATAATTTTCTCGATGTTAGAGAGAAATGACTGGACGCTAGCCTTGCTTGTCGGAGGCTTGCTTATTGACAAACGTGCTGAAGCATTTCATTATACTGCTTACAATAGTACTATTTGATCTAATGAGTGCGATTGCAGACAAAGTCTATATTTCGCCTAATTACAAATTGTAGGTCAGAGAAGCGCATGACATTCGATGAAGATATTTTAGTGTCATTTCAGGGTCTCTTGCAGATGATAACGGCATAAGCGATTAAGGATCTTACAGAACTCTGAAATTGCAAAGCAATCCAGAGCTTGACAAGATTGTTTATATTTATACATTACGCTCGAGGTGCACCAAAGATAAGAGAATGGTAAGTTCAATATATTATATACCAGCTAAACAAATACCGACTACCACACTGCAGAAAGAAGATGTACTAAATAAGGGTACTTTTAGATTCAAGCTTAAAGATGATGTGTGCAACTGCACAACTAAGTTATGGAAAAACTTCGCCTTATAGACGAATGGGCTAAGGATCGAGAGAAGATAGGAGGATTCTCAGGAGGGTTCTTTGAGGCATTTCAGCAAACGATAATTCTCACGAAAGTGATCACAAAAAAAGGTAGTGCGATGGGAGAAAAGGCGAAAGTAAAAAATTGAATTGTTTTGCTGTAAATAAAAAGCGATTATTCCGCTTCAATGCTGAAATGGCAGGATTTGATGATTAAAAGGGAACTGCAGCCAGAAATTAGGAAATGTGATGATTTATTCTAGGGAATCATCGATTACGAAAGCTTTAGCCGTTGAAAAGTTGACTTTGGGGCTAATTTTTGGAAAAATTTTTTTAAAAAAGCTTGATCCTCTCCAAACTTCGAAGCTCTTCCTTTACAAGAAAACTTACTCGGCATAGTATTCGAATAAAGCCACAAGAGCTGTAGTAGAGCTCCTTCTAGAATAGCTTCGACGCTCGCGAGCGGTCATCAGATGAGGTATGGAAAGTTCGAGAGGAATGGCAGGAACCAGTCGTACATGCCCCTCCGACCTCATTAGTCCACATTCAGTAGGCAACAACTATGCATACTAGACTAGAATTCACAAGGTGTTGTCACGATAACAATGTTAAAGAAACCTAGGAAATTCAATTCAACTTTCAGCGCATTCATTTCAGGCGAAAATGTGCACTTTTCTAGCTATTTTTTGCGTGAGAGCTCATGAATCTTACAAGGGAACGATCCCAACTTAAGGTGGCGATTTGGAATGATCCGCATATCATTAGATGCATCTTGATGAGCTGATTCCAAATCTATCTTCCATATCTGCGACAACGTTATCTGGAAGAAGTTATGAAAGGTTAAAAACGTGAAGCAACGGGGGTTCTGATGCATAATTTGCTTTAAATTCCAACTTGGAAGTGCACGACTAGCATCATATTGAGTGTGATTTCACGGAATGCTCACATTCAAAAGAAACGCAAATAAATGTTTTTGAACAGCTCAAAAGCAACCAAAGTTCTTTGGTAAAAGCTATGAGCAATGAAAAGTCCAAATTTGGCAACTATACAGCGCAATACCTCGAAAATTAGTTGTTCAAAAACACTTATTTGAGTTTCTTAAGAGTGTGAGCATTCCTTGAAATCAGTACACTTAATACGATGCTAGTCGTGCACTTCCAAGTTAGAATTCAAAGCAAATTGTGCATCAAAACCCCCGTTACTTCACATTTTTAACCTTTCATAACTTCTTCCAGATAACGTTGTCGCAGATATGGAAGGTAGATTTGGAATCAGCTCATCAAGACGCATCTAATGATATGCGGACACCTTAAGTTGGGATCGTTCCCTTGTTAGAAGTTCTGTGGATTTGTGGCAATACTAAAGCCTATTTCATTAGACAAATTGTTCCGCAAAATAAACAATGCTATTAGCTTGAGTTTTTTCAAGAAACGCTGGTTAAACAATAACCGCTTCAATCCTGGGATAGCAAGCATTTCCTGCGCGGAGGAAAAAAAATCAAAGTCTTGGTGATTTCCTGTAGTTTTCTAAGAGCAGCGCATAAAGATATAGGCTATAGAATATTTTATAACAAGTCTTAAAAGATTTGAATTCTCAAAAATTTTCTTGAATTCTTCAAGTCATGAATTCACTCGTTCAATTCGTTTTGATTGTTGGAGAATACATAAGAATTTGATCAAATTTACCAAGATAAATACTCTTGCTGTCTTGTTAACAGTATTCTTTGAAAGGAAATTTTTCTCGGGAAATCCATGATTCATGCAGCCTACCTATGCCGAACATTTGCAAAAATAGTCCAACAGACTTTCGGCAATGTTTTATGTCGCCAATAATATCTGCAAATATCCAAAGCTGCTACGAACTGAGCCCCATAATCCATCATTCGCAGCACTTCTGATTACATCAATTTCGTGCCGATTTCGCCGGCAAGAGACAAATGTCGCGGCTGCCCGTGCCAAGCCTAACACTAGTACGGAATGGGTCCAGCAACCTGTCACTATTAGTGTCATAGGTTGAGGAATGTGCAAATAAGGTGATAATCGGGCAATGGAGAGACGTTTGAATGACCGTCAAACAGCTCACGACGTGAACACTCGCGCAAATTTACTCAACGGATGTGATTTGTGAAGAGGGAGAAAGTGAGGACGATGTGATCGGTAGGGGTAGCTAGAGTTAGCTTACTAAGGTATAAAAATGTTACCTTGTTGGTGAGAGCGGTGAGTAGAAGAATAGGTGCAAAGGCATGTGAGTCGGATGCTGACAACGCTGCTCGGGCGACGACGAGCCACGCAGAAGTGGCATTTTGTGGCCGAAAGCTGCCATTAATAAGAAATACTAAGCATAGTGCCAGCCAGCCACAAACAAATTCTGTAGGCCTCGTGTTTGGGAGCTGCGGTGGCCGTGGTGGGAAAGAATGGAGCCACTGATCGACAAATGGCTTTGTTTGCAGCGCGCGGGAGTTGCCTCGAAGAGTTTCTCCTATTTCTCCTGGCGCAAAAGTGAAACTTTCAGCAGTTACAGCTGTTATGAGAAGGCAGTAAACAAAAGCAAAAAATAAGAAGCCGAAAGGAGAAGGTGTCAAGTGGGCAGCCACTCGTTGATGGATGTGAATGGATGTTTTCGAAATATGAACGATGTTGTTGCTTGAAGATGTAAGCTATGTGGAAAATTCAATTCAAGGACTGCAATGACTATTTCATAAAAATAAGGAGATGTTTGAGCACTTGGAAAATGCCTATGAATAGCCAGACTTTTTCAGGATTTCAGAATTTGAGGCTGATATTGTCGACCATACACAAATAGTTTATTGAGGACACTACATTGTCCGGTAGTGTCCAAAAACTTCTTTCACATTTTTCGTAAACAGAATTGCCTTTTTTGAAAATGCTCTTTGATACGCGTTTTGCTACCTTGGATTGCAAACAGCATTATTTGACGAAACGTTGGATCGCCGGAAATATCCACGAAGTTCTAGAAGTTCTATTTAGAAAGCAGGGATCATCCACTTTAGATTAAAGAACTTTCGAGGACGGACCATAATTTTGTAATGTGGTAAGTGACTTTGTTGGAAGAGAAGTTTCATAAAAAGAAATTCGTGAGTAGGTGTAAGAGCGAGTAAGTTTGACTGACTTGTCAGGAGTTCGAGGTTTTCCTCAACAAAGGAAGTCCAGGGTCTAATTGTAAGCAGATAAAACTCAATAAGCGGTATCACAACATAAACCAACTCAAGCCAAGTTCATTCTTACTTCAGACCAAGAAGAACGTCCGCCAGAAGAAGATTATCAAAATATTCGAGGCGAGTTTTACAATTTTCCTTCAAAAATTTTTCTATAAATTAAAGTACATCCTTTCTTCCAGAGGAGTCCCGGAGAGGGTCTAAAATTTGAAAAACCGTCTTAGAAAGTAACGAAAAGAGTAATAAAAGTGATAATATCTTTCAACACTTTGTGTTACACGTATATATGTAGGCATTAGAGTATATACATAGCTAGCCCTTAAAAATATATACCGGATCCCTTTGTCCCAAGCGTTACAGAAAGCTCGGTCCTAAGATATACCAAAAACAGCAACCTTGCTTATTTAGTGAAATCCCTTGTCGCATCATTTCGCTTTATTTTTCAAAGCTAAATAACAATTAGTCAAGCGTAAGCGAAGTAGAACTGTGGGCAAAGTGAGGCGAAGAGCTTACTTGTGTGAAAAAAATGTCATTGATACTTTGCTGTCAAATAGCGATCATTCTCCAGAAAATATAATTTAAATGGTATGAGAGGTGCTGAGTTGGAACCATAAAATTAGTAGTAACTACGGAAAACAGTGAATGGGCAGTGGTAGGATCTGCGCGTACCCTAAAAGGGTAATGAAGAGTGTTGTGGAACATTGAACGGATGAGATCGTAAACGAACGAATATGATCCTCGCGTTGACGACGGGCGGGGAACGGTGAGAGACTGAGCGAGAGGACAGCCGGTTCGAGGTGCAGGTAAGTCTAAAAAGGGGGGGGGGTGGGACAGAACGGCGAGCCGAGCGGGTGAATGCACCGCGGACCGTGCAATGTTTACCTGGTCAGTGCCAGCAAAGAGTTCAGGCGAAGGGGAGAGCGCCGTGACGGAAGACCATCACGGTCACTACCGCTCTCTGGCTCTTGGAAAACGGGGAGGGGGGGGGGAAGATGGAAAGCGACTCCGGAAGGCTGTTCTGGGGGGGGGGGGGGGAAGGGCAGAAAGAAACATGGATCCATTTTGGGGTTGCTTTATTGCTTATTTCTCATATAGGAGGTACTCATCTCTCACAATCAGATTCGATTCATTGTTTACTCAAAAATCGCTTTCTTTCACAGCAACAGCTCGCCGGTCTCGAATTACAAAGCTGCAGGAAAATGCTGAACGAAGACGAAATCCCGAACGAATGTTCAGATTTTTCAGGATTCAATAGGATTGCTCGCGAAAATGGCTTATGAAGAGCTCGTGACTGAAACAGCCACTTCAAAGCCGACTTGAGAAGGCTTAAATCGAGAACTTATTCAAGCTGCAGACTTAGATAAGAACTAGATAGTACAAGCCCTTAATTGGCAGTATGTATGGGTTTTGTGTATCGTATTTTCGTTTATATCTAGAATATATTGTTAGACACTATTAGGTTACCAAAATCTGTTGCTAATAGGGAAGAATGTGAAACGTGTTCTGTTACACAAGTTCGAAAAAAACTCGAAAAAACCAAAAAGAAAAACTTTTAGTTGCTTTTGCCGATTTTTGGCTAACTCTTTACGCATTTCGCCACAGTATCCCGTCTACCATAAGTGTAAAATTTATAAAAATCTCTCTTTGCTACCCATGCAGCTGTTATTGCTTTAGTTTTTTGAGTCCCACTCATCAAAAGCTTTCTGAGTTTGTTTAGCTAACAAAGGAGGTGTTTTTGGTCGAAGTGGCCTTTTCAAATGGAATTGATACGACTATAAAGAGCATCAAACGCTGATTCCAAATCTGTCTTCGTTATCTGCCGAGCGCCCCTAGACGTCGAGTTACGAGCGTTTTTTGAGTTGAGAAATTAAATGCATACTTAGGACAATATTCGTCAGAACTGCTCAAATGGTCCAATGTTGATTATCAAAGCACTTTATTTAAACAATATCTTTTATCCAAAGCATCCATACTTAACATTGCTCTATTTGAGCGCTGAAAAGACCGTAAAATTTTATTTTACTTAGGTTATGCGTTCATTTTTCGCAGCAAGAAAATATTCTTAACTCGACGTCTAGAGGCGCTCGGCAGATAACGAAGACAGATTTGGAATCAGCGTTTGATGCTCTTTATAGTCAGTTTCATTTGAAAAGGCCACTTCGACCGAAAACACCTCTCTTGTAAGAATCTTTTGAGAAAGAAAATTCTGGATAAGCTGGCTCCATATCTAATGATCAAAATAAATTAAATTTTTGCGAAAGGATACATTTCATAAGCGACTATGGTAGTTTGTTCTAAATTTTCCGATTGTTGTGCATAAAACCAGGGTTCCAAGGATGGTTCTACCACGAGTAGTAGTTCGACTTACATTTTGCCACATAGAGATTTAAAAACTATGAGACCTGTGTTATTATTGAGGGAGCCGTATTATATTAGCGCGAAAGGCCATTCAGGCACCATTCCCTGGCTTTTTTTACCTCGAACAATCTGCGTGAAGTGTTTTCAAACAAAAGAGATTATGTACTTACAAAATCATTCAGCTGAATGCTGTTGCTAAAAAGTCTGATAGGCGGGAGTTGAGGAAGGCATTTACTCGAGTTAGGTTATCAAAATCAGGTCAACAAAGATTTAAAACTTCCAGATTCCAAAGCAGGTTCTATTATATTTCTGACTCTCTTTTCAAATGGGCAAAAGCTTGTGTCGATCGAACATCTCTATGCAAACTTTGAAAAAATTCAAGGAAATGTCATACGGAAAAGATAGGAAGAACATGCATTAGAGTTTGGAATAGTTATTGTCTAAAGTTCTATGTATAACTGCTACTCAAAAATAAGAAAAAAAAATTAGGCACTTCAACATGTAGTGGAGGCGAAAGCCAATAGCCAAAGCGAAAGCTTTCTGCCAATCTAGTGGAACTTATGATTATGTGAACACCAGCGGCAAAACATTACGATCGAGAAGAGATGACGAATTTGAAAATAGCACAAGAGTCAAGCCAGAAGCTTAGCGTGCTCGACGACATGTTTTGTCTGAGCCGAGGAAAAGAGGAAGAGAAGGCGGTTTCGAGTTTGCCGTATCGAGCCGCAAGCCGCTGCGCAATGCACCGGTTCGTCGTTTGTCTTTGCGACGGAGCGAAGTGTGAAGTCGAGCCCGACCGGGTGTAATCCACCCTCACTCCACCCCATCCTCCCTCTTGCACTTCGAGTCTGCACGATGCCCCTGTTCTATGGCAAAACATTTGCACTGACTTATTGCAGGTCTCGCGCTCTGCTAGTGCAGCGATGCGCCCCAAAAAAGGCACGCAGATGGTCGGGTATTTAGCGTGCAACAATTTGCCCACTTTGTAACCATTTGGGAGAGAGTGGCTTTCTCATTGGGCAGAAAAACAAAACCATTTCTGCAGCGCTTCAACAGCGATGGTTAATGAGAATTTGTGACAAAATTGCTGAAAACAACGAGAACGAAAGTTCAGAAAAGTAGAAAAAGTTGAGTTTTTCTTTCAGTACTGAAGTTGGGATTAAGCAAAAGAATTCAGAGTAACCTACCGAAAATTTCTGAACAAATTACGTCATTTGGGCACTGCTTACTATTTAAGACGGCTGAAAACAAGCCTGAGGGCTTTCCCATCCCAAGAATTCAAGTAAAGTCAATAATAGCATATTAAATCTCTCACAACTGATTAAATTGAAATCGCTAAGAATTTCAATCGTTGTCATTTGAGAAAACCATGCAGGCTATCAACCTCGTTCGTCAATGTTCTCAGTTACTGCAGGAAAGAAATAAAAGTTTGTAACCCCTCAAAACCGGAATCTAAAAATTATAATAAGCTCAACCTAGTGCTGGCTGTCGGATTTGAATTTGACAAATTCCCCAAAGTAAATAATCAACTATGCATGAAAACTGCTGACCACTTTTCTGTCAAGTCCTCGTCTTGTGACTGAGGCGTTATTTGAAAGGTATAGTAGTCCATTTTAAGCTCCGGCGCATCTCCTTGGTAAATAAAACTTGATACTTGATTTCTTTTCTATTTCTCAAAGGACTGATCTTCTGTAAAAGCCTTTTTATGAATATAATATTTTTGTCGCTGATTGGAAAGGATAAAAATACATACTGCGTCATTACAAAA